TTCTCGGTAAAGTGTACAACCAGAAATTATTGTGATAAAAATCTACCTGATGCAGTAGACATCTTAATTATTGCTACTGTAGGTGCCTAAGATACACAGCTTCTTGCTATAATGGATTATTTTATTTCCTGCTGCTCCCAGCCTTACCCCACCGGTGGATGTCACACCATAGTGGATGCTAGCCTGCCAGGCAGCACAGTGTAGCATCAATTTAAAAGTGCAGTTTGCTTCCATTAAAGGTGTAGAGAGGTCTATTTTCCATGTTAACTACTGGAAGGAGTTGTTGGGAGGTATGATGTCAATTCTTAGCATGTATCAGCATGTAACAGAACATGAGAATTAAAAGCAAGCAATGGAAAGTTGGGCAGAAGTAATACCACCAGCAGTAATAAAAACTTTACCAGGAAATGTCTAGTGGTTTGTTCTGTTGGGGGTTTTTTATAGTGATTACACTGAAAAGCAAGAAAATTGTTACTTTAGAAAGGCTGGTTAACAGCCAGCCTTATGCTATATGATTGTACACACTTTTTGGAACTTTGTCAGGTAGTCTCTCCCTGTCTCTTACATGTTCCCATTCCATAATCTCCCATTTAAAAGTTTTCTTTGTGGCAAGCTCACATCACAGTAGCCAACTGAGTAAGCTGACTGATTTTCACGCAGAGTAGATGCTGATCTTTCTTCATTAGCTTCAAGACAGCTTCAATACCAAGGCATGCATTCTTCAGTAATGTCCTTCAGGAACTATGCCAGATGTACTCATAGTGGAGATTTTGCCTGTTAAAAGCTAGTAATTGTCTATGTTTCTTCTTGGTTTTGTAAGACTTAGTGGTGGGCTTCCCTACCCCCTCTCTTCCCCCCCCAGAATAATGCATTTTTCCATTCAGTCTAATTTGGAAGCTGTTGTATGTTGCATACACAATATTTATGGTATTTTTACAACTCCAGCATGCTTCAATCAAAGCTGTTTGCTACACTGGAAGGAATTCAAGATGGAAAATGTCTAACAATCAGAAGGGACAGAAAGGAGACCTTTGCTCTTCCATTTTCAGATCATACTTGAAGATGTTTAATTCAGGCTCAGTGATTTCCTATTACTCTTAACTCATTTCTCTACTTGGAGGCACTTTAATGCTTGTCATCTCATTAAAAGGATAGTCGGTGTTCCTCAGCAAAGAAAATGTTTCAAACACCACACATAACAACATCGCACAGTGTTGGCAGTTGCAGGCACCACAAATCTTTTGTCTTTGAGTCATGCAGGCAAACCTGTGAGGAAGCTTAGAAAGTTTGAGAACTCCTGACTTACTTCTGCAGACAGTGACTGTGTTCATTTTATCACCCTCCATGCTTGTTCCAGGACTCCTATTAAGTGCCCATCAATATTTTGACTCAATTTATCTACTCTCATTTACCAATGAGTGCAAAATAGCGCTGAATGTTAGACTGACTTATGTTTGTTAGGGGTATTAGTAAAAAAAAGTCTGTTTATATGGCTTAATGAAAAGCATGACCTAAATTAGCATTTGGGTCAATACATTTTAAAGTTAAAGTTGGATTAGAAGACTAACGATGGGACACTGAAGAGGAACTTTCAGAAATATTTTTGCACAAGGGAGATTTCTGTAGTCCCGTATTTCTGTATTTTATTGAGTACTGGAAAAGAACCAAGTAGTGGTCTTCTAGTGATCCTTTTATTTTCAGCCTGAATGGGTGTAAGAAAAAGAGATTTTTTTTTTGTGAAATTCTAAATGTTGATCTAAATCTATAGATATTGAGGTTAGGCTGAACAGTCTGGCTCAAGGACAGAACAAAGCTGATAGCCCTTTCCATGTAGTACACAGTTAGTACTGTGATGCTGGACAGCTCTTGGTAAAGTGACTCAAAATACCTTTTGTTGATGTTTTACTACTAATCCTTGCTAGTCTAAGGACTTTTCGAATTAAATATCCACTGTGCGTGTGTATCTACAGATCAGTAATTGTCGTATTCATGATTAGAGGAAACAAAACCTCAGTGGATGTAATTTTATATTTGTCTTTCTCAGTATTTTGAATTCAAATTTTGCGAAGAACAAAATGACAATACCAAGAGTAACCTCAGTGCTCTTAATGAACACATTTGTGTCCACTGACATCAGCCAACTTCCAGTAAAGTGCAAGCTTCAACATCTAATGCTTCACACTAAATGCCTAAGAGGCAGAACAGCTCTATGAATGATGGTTCTAAGAAAAGCTTTTTCACTAGCACTTGCAGCTGTAGCTGCTCCAGGAGATGTCACCAGGGACAGAAGATCATGCCTGACATGATGAAATGTGGAAAACCAGGATCTATTTTCTGTTCCCTGTTAAGAGCACAATGATGACACTTCACGTTCAGATGGGAGGGAGAAATATATTTGGCCCCTTAGACTTAGACCAAGATTTGTAAAATATTTAGGCAGTTAATTCCCTATGAGGTCTTTCTTCTTTGAGATTATCTCAGTCCTGAAAGTGATGTAAGACTTATTATTCATACTTTAAACAAATAAATAGCAAGCAAATATCACTTTAGCTCCTTGATAGAGGGTGGAGAAAAGCAGGTTAAAAAAAGAGATCTAATCCAAGAAAGCTAAAACTTGCCCTTTACAGCACTTGGTGATGAGTGATGACACTAGAATGCATCTACCTGACAAGTCTATCAGTCACACCACAATAAAAGGTGTAAATAGTTTGCAGAGGAGTATGTTCTTAGTGCAAATGTAAAGAATAATTCACTCAAAGTTTAAAAGGGTCAGCTGTGACCTGTTTATTTTAGATGACTTAAGAAGGACATGGAGCTGTTGGAGCAAGTCTAGAGGAGGCCAGGAGGACGATCAGGGGCTGGAGCACCTCCCGTATGAGGACAGGCTGAAAAAGTAGGGGCTGTTGAGCCTGGAGAAAAGAAGCTGTGTGGAGACCTCAGAGCAGCTTCCAGTGTCTGAAGGGGGCTACAAGGATGCTGGAGAGGGACTCTTCATCAGGGACTATAGTGATAGGACAAGGGGTGATGGGTTCAAACTGAAACAGGGGAAGTTCAGGTTAGATCTAAGGAAGAAGCTCTTCCCTGTGAGGGTGCTGAGGCACTGGCACAGGGTAGCCAGCGAAGCTGTGGCTGCCCCATCCCTGGCAGTGTTCAAGGCCAGGCTGGACAGGGCTTGGAGCAACCTGGTCTAGTGGAAGGTGTCCCTGTCTGTAGCAGGGGGTTGGAACTGGATGATTTTAAGGTCCTTTCCCAAACCAGTCTGGGATTCTATAAATTGAGCCTCTTCTCGTTTCTGCTATTGGAAGTACTTAGTGAATTTCCAACAACTTTGAACAGAGAAACATAGAACGTTGTTGAAAACCAAAGCAAAATCTTTCTTTTACAAAATTCACCATTCATAATTGAAATATTCTTTTTGTAGGGAGGAAGCTATTTTATTTATATATCTTTTGTTTGGAATTTGGTTGCCAGTCCCTCTGTTCTTCTCTTGTAAGAAAACAAAAATAGATAGCAAATCTGTTTGCAATTATTTTTTAAAAGCCTTTGATATCATGGTTAAGCCAGTTCCTGTTTCTCTTCTCTTTCTTGCAGATTTTTCTCTTTGATAATTCTAAGCTATCAGTCTGAATGTGTTTTTATTTAAAACAGCGTTTTCTGTTGGTTTTCTGTGAAAGCTGACATCTTGATGGGTATCAGCATGGTAAAAGATAGTCTCAAGTGTTCACTTAAAGATGTTATGCTTCAGATGGGAGATTTGTAGGGAGGTATATAAGAGATGCCTTTGAAGTAACCAGACCTAAAAACCTTGAACTATAAAAGTTACTTTATTATAACCCTTCAGGATTATATGTACGTTTTATTATAATCCTTAATGATCTCCATTCTCTTTTTCATAATTTTGGGGTACCTTGATCTAGTCTATAAAATTCACCTTGAAGTTAGAAAGGGAAAAGCGAAAGGGAAAAGCACCAAACACTGACTGGGAACAGAGACTTGAAACTTCTTCTTTTTTCCATATTCAGCACAAGTGTAGGGTATTGATTGTGTCTGGATAAACCTTTACCATTTACTTTTAGTTGTTTCACTTTGGACAGCTACATATTCAGCATGCAAGAGAGAAAGTTTCCACCTGAGGACAGTGGGCAAGCTAAGCCTCAGGGATGTGAGACTGCTGGATGCAAGTCTGCTTTCTTCACTATCCCACATGAGCATGTGATGAGACCCCAAGGCTTTTCAGCATTCACTTGCTATCCTAGCATTTTCAATGCCTTCTGCCTGTCTTTCTTATTTTTAACCCTGAAACTTCATCTTGGATCCAAAACCCATTTGTCAAGAGAAATCCCAGTACTTTCCAGAGAGAATGGGTTTTGCCTCATACAGTTTGAAATAATACAAAAGCTTTGCTGGGAGAAAGCCTTAGCAGCTTTCATTTGCAACTTAATTTTTTGTTAATGGAAATGCATATTACAGGGAAGCTGAGCATTCTGTCTCCCTTCTTTTGCACTAGCTGCAGAGCCAAGACTGTGAGAATGTCAGCTGTGTCTTTCTTCAATTTTGTGGTTCCTTCCAGTCATGTTTTCTGTTGTGGTCCCCTATGGAAAAATAATAAAGTACAACAAAAAAAACCCACTTCACTCTGATGTGGTTACAGTTGGTCTTCTTTACAGATTAACTTCCTTTTAAGTGTGGTCTCCATGCAGAACATCAACAAATAGCATGAAGATTTATTTCAGATTAAGCTCAGCAAAACAATGCATTTTCTCCAGTAGATATAATTCTTATTTTAGCTAACCCTTTGCACAGAAATAGTGCTTGTTTTATGGTTGAAGTTGTCAAAAGGAAAACTGTATTTAAAGTTTAAAAGACTGTAATGAAATAATGGAAATCTACATCTAACTCCTTAATTCCTGGTGACAGATTTCCTTGCTGGTTTTTGTAAATTAAGATCTCTATTCACCCTTCCACATTTGTTCTGATTTTGGTTTGGTTTGGTTTTGCAGATTATCTCTGCCCACTGATAATGTAACATGGCACAACATGAAAACTTCTTTCTCTGCTCAAGAAGAAAAGCAGGAATGGCAAGGGACCAAAGTGGAACCACCCTCTGAGAATCTCCATCACTGATCCACATCTCTAAAATACCAATATATTTCACTTTTCCTTCACAATATAAACTGTTGTGTACTACATCAAGATCGATGGATTTTCATACTTTCAGGCTTCATAATAACAGAAATAATAATAAACTAGTCTGACATTTTATCTGTGCATAAGTATTTTGGGTGATGGTAGAACTTGAAAACTGTCTATAAAATATAGTTTGTATTACTCCTTCCAGAAAAATAAATTAAAAAATGTAAAGTTCATAGCCAGCAACATAATTTCAACATCACAATGGTGAAGACAAGACTTAGACAAAGGTATTTCAAAAGCACTGGGAAAAGAACCAGCAAGATCATTCTCTTTCTTAAGAAACAGTTTTGGAATAGAAAAATCACCTTCCCTATCTGCATGTAGCCATCCATTCTTAGATCTTTAGTCTACTTGCTTGTATGTAGTATATGTAGCAAAAGGAAGAGCTAGATGTGAATCTGAAGTTGTTTTTAAGCTCATCCAAGAAAAGATTTATTTTCACTTTGTGTCAAATAAATCTTTCTTTAGTTTCACCATTTTATCATTTATCATTGGTGCATTTCTTCTTTCAGTTCCAAGATCTTCCCTTGATGACTCTTTATGGTATATTCTCCATGTGATTTGAGAGAGTTGGCATTGCCATGTGGACAGTTTCTTGAAACAGAGAAGCAACAAAGTGTATAGCAAAGTAGAGCTTGGAGCTGCTACTATTGTGCAACAGCAACAGAAATATGCTCTAAAAATACGCTCTGTGAAATAAATAGCATTGGAAGTGTGAGCAGGCTGTTCTATTACAAAATGCCTTAAAACAACAAAAACAGTGATCTATACTAACCTTGTCAATTTTAAAGACTTTCTTTTTTTGCCCACTGAACAGTTACTTATTCCCTGCATTTATATTCTAAATGAATAACGCGAACATGGGGTCAAAGACAGAATAGTCTCTTACAGAAAATATGTTTTATGTGTTTAAGTGTTGTGTCCTTCAATTGGAAAACTACATGGAAGATTGGTGTTGTAATATTCTTAAAAATGCTATTAATTAGACTGTAAGGCTTTTCTTCCATGGTTTTCACTAGGGTTAGAGTTCTGCTCCTAAATGTGTACCTTCACTTCCTAGCACTGGAAAGATAAAGATTGATTTTATTAGAAGAAGAGTATTTTCTTGTCCGGGCAACTGAGTTTCACACTTCACCTGAAGAAGTGTAGCCCAAGATGAACTGCATTCAATTTCAAGCGTTCAGAGGTTAAAAGCTGAGAGTTTTCATTAGAAAGAATTTCAGGCTATGAAGACTTAACAAAATAATCTTTGCTGTTCCTTAAGGCTACAAAGTGACCATTTCCACTATGTTTCTAGTGGAAGTTATCTCTGGGTTTTGGTCAAGATAGGTTACCAAAAACAAAGTACACCCCACATACATGTTGTTGGGTTTGTAATACGAACAACAGGAACAAATGTTTCTATGGACCACTTGTAAAATTCAGCAATGCTGAATGAAAATGCAGCAATCTGGCACCGAGTTTGAACTCTTCCCACTGTGCATGAGCAAGAATTCCCCGAGTCATTCTGATTAGTCTGTGGTACTAAAAATAAGAACAGTAGTGTCTGCCGTTGGAGGAGAAACACTGTGCAGACATTCAGAGGAAACCTAGACAAACTTCACTTGTGGTCCCTACGGGGATGGCATGGGGGGAGGAAGTTGGAAGAGGAGACATACATGTTCAAATGTCTGGGATTCAGGAGACTAATTCCTGAGTCACTGGGGAAAAAAAAAAAACCAAAAGCAACCAGTAATTAGATTTTCCACATCTTTTTTTCTTTGCTTTTTAAGGCACTTCCATGGCAGAAGTCAAGCAGGCACTCACCGAGTTCCTATTTAGTAGGTACTTGAGCCTATAACTCTTAGAAGCCTTTTTTGAGAATCCACGATTACATTAGTAAGAAAAAGATTATTTCTGGTACAAGTCTAAGCTGGTTTCTCTTTTTTAATCATCATTTTTCTAGGGACTTTTGCTGCTCTTTGATTCAACTGCAGTTACCCCACATCCAAACATTTCACTGTAGCCATGGACTAAAAGCTGTCACTTTGTCTGATTCTGAAAATAATTCTGACGCTGCAATCATTGGCCGACTTAAATTTCATTTCCCCTTTTATTGAATTATCATTAGCTGAGGGAATCCTTCCAGCACTCCCAACTAGCTACCATTTGATGTACAACTGCATCACTATTTCAACTGAAATGCAGCAATTGATCCTGTGATACCACCTGTGGGACTGCCGTGTCTCATAAAGATATCATTTTGACATGCTCAGCTGTTAAAATTAGGTGTATTCAGATGACTTGTACACTCACATTCCTTTCTACTGACATACTTTTCAAACCAACCTTTTTCCTGACTTCAGCTGTTGTATATGAATCTGAGACAAAAAATTAAAAGCAGATTTTCCTCCTCACCTATGCAGAGCACAGCTTTGTAAACTAAAGTAGTGGTCATGTATGTACATGCATTGCTTTACAGACATTCTTCTGACTCTCTAAACTTTGTTAATTGAGAATACTTTGATAACTGGTATAAAATCATGTTCTTATCCGTTTGGATTGCAATATAACATGACAATAAAGCTTAGATAACTTGATCAAACTAGATAATGTCCTTAAGTCCTCATCTTAAAACGATTTCATTCCTACAGCCTGAAGTTGTTTTGCTGGTAAGAGATGCCTCAAATGACTGCAATTCACTCATGTTGTGAAAGCAGGTCCCTTATTTTTGTAGCTGGGCAGCTATACTGTTCAGTTATTAGTTGTTATTCATTACCATTTAGGTGTAGTCTTATAAAAAAATCTTGAATGAGTATGGATTCACAGAATCTGAACATTTATCTCCTGGAAACTTCTAGTTAGAAGTTACTTTATCAGCCCAAACCCAATTTGTGGCTATTCCAATATAAAATTTCAGTAAGTTTCATTCAAAAAAACCATAAAAGGAATAAAATACAAGGAAGTCATCCTCAGCTTGGAAAATGACTAAGAATTCTAATGATTCTAATGACTAAGAATTTAGGATTTAAATTTAAGATATAAGATTTGAGAATTCAAGTAGACATTATTAGGATTTCTTGTATTTTCTTCCCCTTTTCTCCCTTTTCCTACAGAAGACACCTGCTCTCTGAAAATAGGGCAGAGGTGTTTAAATAAATGGGCCCAAAATCAGCAACGATTTTGAACCCCATATTTGTTTGTTGGGTTTTTTTTTTGTTTGTCGGGTTTTTTTTTGTTTGTCTGGGTATTTTATAGTAAAATGTTGAGTATGCAGCTGTTGACACATACACAAATAAAAGTGGCTCAGTTACTCAGTACTAACCCAAAGGCCCCTATTTGTATGGTGTAGTATTACAAGGTTGGCATTCTGAAATTTCATCCTACTGTTTTTATACTCTGGACATCTTAGTTTTGTGTTTGGTTTTGTTTGTTTTTTAACCAGTACTCTTTGTTGTCTGCATTTTCTGCTCTGTTGCTACAAACAGATCACCAGAGGTCTGTGGGGTCTGGAACTAGCTTCTGGCTTGCTTTTCCCTGTGAAACATAGAGAAGTATGTTTAAAACATTTTTGTGCTCCTGTTTATGATCACTGTGATGGCATTCCTGTAAAAACTGCCAGTTATTTAAGTTCATAGCAGGGTTCTGTCTGTACTCCCTGTGCTTTCTTGTTTGTTTAGGGTGTGAAACACCACAGCGAGACATTCTGTGTGGGTTTTATTAGTGTGAAATGAGGTTATCATGTCTTTCAGGATAGCTTTTATTGTCAACGAAATCCGAGAAACAAAGTCTGCAAGCATCACTGCTCAAGAACTGACATGTTCTGTTAGAAAAGTCAATGGACTTCTACAGGGGTAAGTCAAAACAGTTCATAGGGCAATTTACTTATGAGTTAACAAATTCTTGTTGTCTTCAAAGCCTAAGAATCTAGCTATTGACTGGAAATTTAGTATGTATCTGAGAGCTAACCATCTGTGAGCAAATTTAAGCCTGGATTTTGATATCTGTGGTGCAGGCAGGATGTACACTTATGAGACTTGGGATTTTTTGAGGAGATGGCTGTTTACACTAACTTTCTTTTCCAATACTTAATACTCTGAACAAAGTTCACAAGTATTTTTATCATATGAGAATATATTCATTTATATAGGGCTAGAACTTACATTTTTCTCTTGCTGTGAGATGCACAAACTGGAGAATATTGGAGAAACAGATCAGTTTAGGTTTTTAATGATTCTTGAGTCATCTTTATTAATGACTAAGCTGTCACAGTAGGATGATGAGTACCCTACCAAAATTGTTAATGACAAAGCCAGGAGGGATTACCAGGCAGACATATGCCTTTAAGGAAGAACTGGAGGCAGTAACAACTGGAATAATGGAAAGGAATTCATCATAATAGGATGACATTTCAGATTAGGGATTGCCTAGGTCTTCTGATACCAACTTCATCAGTTGAGAATCACAGGTTAGAAGAAATGTACTTGTTTATAGAATGATAAATGCCAACAGTGTGATGTGACAGTGAAAACCAAGACAAATTTGATCTGAGGAGACATCAGGCCAGACACTGTTGGTCAGAAAGGAGTTCACTTCTGTGAAATACTGTGTAAAGTTCTGCTTATCAGTATTTAAGAAGGATGAATGAACCTTGAACAAGAATCATACAGTAATAGTAGACTATTGTAAGAATAAGAACATACTGTACTAATAAGCTATGATAACAAAGACTACGATAATAATAAACCCAAGAATATCAGCTTCCTTCCTGAGCTATACATGACTGCCATCTCCATGCAAACAAGTTTGCTAGTTACCCAGGGGTTCTAGTTTAACCCCAGCTGGCAACTAGGCACCACCCAACTACTTGTGCACCCTCAGCCCACTCACTGGTGGGGTAGTGGAGAAGCAGAAGGGCCCTTGAGTGTGTAAGCACTGCTCAGCAATAACTGAAACATCCCTGGGTTGTCAACACTGTCTCCAGCACAAATAAAAATCATTGCCCCATACCAGCTATTATGTAGAAAATTAACTCTATCCCAGCCGAAGGCAGCACACTAGGTGGGGTTTAGTCCTGTCTGTACAGCAAC